TAAACCACATTCCCCTACCCTCCCGCCTGCCACCAGCAGCACCACCAACAGTGTGAACGCAGCCCTAACGTGTCCCTATTGTGGCCGCGCCTTCAATCACACAGCAACCTTGTCGGTCACTTGCAAATCCACCGTACTGCGATCGGCGAGCCAGAAGCTCCAAAATGCGAGTCGCTCTCGTCTCACCTGTCCACAATGTCCTACGACATTTGATCATCGCATGGCCCGCACGGTCACATGTGCATACACGAAAATTCTCACTAAAGCACAACAGTCCAGACCCCAAAATCACACGTCGCTCTATCTACACACGCGTCCTATAAGGCTACCCCGCGACACGCGTGTACGACACCTTTCTGCCATATATCGTGCATTGCTACTGCAACAAGATTGCAGTCAGTCTTGCCAGCGCCGGTATGGTGGACGAAAAGTCCCACGTGGGAAGCAGTCCTCCTACACTTAGCCCATTGTCTGACGAGGGAACCACGTCGTGTGCGGCACGCGTAGACGACCCGCACGATCTTGTCAGTAGCTACGCCCAATCACATCGCCAGTGGGTTGATAGGTTCGGAAAATCAACTGGTGCATGAGAGAGCGGAGAGATGTGGACTCCATCCCGAGGATAAATTGACGTATACCTCAATATAATAAACCTGACGCGCTTAAGCCCATTGTGATATGGCTGTCAATGGCAATTTAGAGGTCTCTATAGCACTCTCACCATGTGAGATTCGAGCGGCCATTAAAGTAACCCGGTATATGGAGTGGGGATCAAGTCGTGTGAGCCACAGGTAGACGGGCTGTTTAACTCCGTCGGCACTGCGCCCGAGCTCGCCTTCGACCATTTTGACATTTTCTTATCACTGGAGCGAGGTGATTGAGGAGTGTGCTAGACGCTGCGCATAGACAAATTCACGTACAGGTCGCCGCCGCGCCCGCTCCGAGGAACATGCAATGGGCGTCGCTTGAGACGTTTGAACTGTTGTTGTGGTGTTGGAAATGAGAGGCTATTACTATAGTCCCTTGAGAACGACCCTCGAGTGTAGATACAGGTTTCATCGAGGATCAGGGCTCAAAAACCGAGTAGAAAAGGAAAGTGACCATTGTGATGCACACTTAACAGAGAGGGCATGCACTGTTCACTAGACTGCGTGGAACAAAATAAGAGAGGTGAAAGGCTTTCGCGTAATAAAATAGACAGTCACTACGCACGAATTTAGTTTGGCTAAATTCAGTAACGCACAGTTGAAGTCGGCATAGGATACTAACAGGACTGCATCGCACAAGTTTCGGAGGAAGGGCCAACAATGGGGCGTTTTCAAAATGGATTCTCCTACCTCCCCGACGTCATTAGGAAGCGAAATCTAAACGAAACGTGTCCTCAATTAAAATTCTAACAAGAGCTTCGATGACATGAAATAGCGAGTGGCCGATGCAGTAATAATTTAGGAAAATTAAAAAGCAGCTTAGTTTGGTTCCAGGACTTACACGCGTGATTACGGTGTTCGATGAACCAGAGGCCCTGCCAGGTCCCCAGGTTCATGCGCCCATCCGTGATTGGTACGGTCACATTAGAACCGCCCAGAATGGCATGCTTGCCATGGGCTGGCTGGAGAATAAAAGTGAGGACTGCATTAACTCGGGGCCTACCATATCATCCGGACCTTCGCAAGAGTGCTTGTAGTTCAAACCCTAAAGCAGGAATTTGCGTCTGCCCTTTCTTTTGAACAAACTTACCTCCGGGACAAGTCGATTAAGGAGCATCTCAACATCATCTCTTAAGATAACATTTCGAGGGGGAAAGGGCCAACTTACTTCACAGATGCATCCCAACTCTAAAAGCACGAGACCAAACAATTCGACAACGGTAGGAGCTTACCTCATTCAGCGTGATACTCGCGGAAGTGTGTTGCACTAAAATAAAATGCACCAAGTTCAAACAAATAGTCGACCAAGATCAACATAAGCAGGTGGAAACCAAACGTTCTGAAGACTATGGAGCAACTTACTGAAGAGGTGCAAGGTGCCTATCTTAATCTGGCCAATTTCGGGGAAACCCTTGACAATCTCCTCGGTTACGTAGTGGCACCCGCGCGGCTTCGGTTTAAGGTTGATTGTTCGTTGAAACCAAACAATTCCTGAACCGGTAGCCATGTTGCTAGCTGAAAAAAAGGCATAGCGCGAGTAAAACGAGAATATATCCAATTTCAGGCAAAACTGCACGCTGAATCTAACAAACCTCGGATAAACTGTCGTTTGCTAAATAGCGAAGAGAGTCATGGCACTAATAACATGTCCTCAGCAAACCAAGAATAGTGCGGAAAACTTGAAGTAAATAACACGATTCATTCCTAGGGCACACCTGCGGTGGCAAGTTAACACTTAATAAACGTGTAAGCAGAGCTTCAATTCTGAGATTCCAATTCAGCCCCTTGCGGATTCACACCACCATACGCGATGAGCAGGATCGTGCGAAAGAACCCAGATAGACATTGGTTGGTTGTAAATTGTGAGCGAGTGGGTTAGATGTCCTTTCTGGATTCTTTGCATTGTTAAGGAGCCAATACACCATATATGTGTCTTTGAAAGAGAACTCCACATACCCAGTGCGGATGAAATATCCATAGTCCGATCAGTTACTCACTTTTTAATCAGTATGCAATGAATAGTGCTCTCCTCCAGGTTCTGCACTGCGTGGACGAAAAATGACTGACTTAAGTTAGAGAAGGCACAGGCAATGATCGTGTTTAAAGGGGGCACATGGGGACCGACAGGAACCTGGAAGTTGTCAAAAAACCCATGAAATGAAGCCATATGGCAACGCAAACCCTGAGACGAAGAGACTGTCAAGCACAAACATCAGAAATCCCGAATACTTTTGAGAGAACTCTTAGATAGAAAGAGGAAATACGAAGGATCGTTGTGTGCATGTGTGTGCTTCGGGTAACTGCAGCCGACTGCAACCTGGAAAAAGCGGACTCGGACCATCGATTGCATCGGCAGTTCGGTGCTATATCTCCAGAAAACCGATGATGGCAAAATTACCCCTCTAAGCTAGCACGAGTTTGATCTCACTCAATCTGACTAGTGAACATACAAAGGCATTCAGCATTCAGGGCTCAATAGAAAATTGTCAGTTAACAGGAAGTGTGAGTCATGCAACGCAACACGCGAGGTTAAAAGTGCGATGCAAAAAAAGTGATTCCACTACAGGCAGCAGCTGGCGTAGTTAGTGGAGGCTACGATTAATATGCGTTTTGAGCTTATCGGAAAATGTACATGCTTTTGATACTCGCGGTCGCATTGTAAAAATAAAATCCACAATTATTCACATTACTGCGTATTTATTTCGGCTTAGAAAATCTACACGTAAAAAAATACTGAAGGTGACAGTGGATAGTAAAAGAAGTTCTGATAGTCGAAGTCATAATAAAGTGTAAAACATGTTCATTTGAGTCTGTCAGCGAGTCGGTCAGGGGTACGAAAACAGGAGAAGTCATCTTGCTGATCCGCAGAGGGTGATGGAGGTGAGGAGAGAAGAGAAGACTGAAGAGTAAGCCTTCGCTCAAATGCACTGTTAAGCCCGATGGGAAGGGACCAAGAGGTTTCTTCAACCTTATCCGTGTCATTGGAAGGATGGTCTTCAAACGAAACCGCAAGGGCAGCGACGCAAGGGGACGGGCTAAAAAAGGAGCACAATCCACTGAGAGGCCCAGACAAACTCACGAAATATGTCCCCTGCAGCATTAAGGGGTTATAAAAGTGTACCTTCTGTCCTTTCGCTGGGGTGATGATTCTGGCGTCGAATCCCAAACGAGCAGGAAACTACGACTGCCAACAGTTTTGGTTGTGGAATCCATTTCAGCAGTTTCATTCGTGCCCGAGTTAGGGCACTCCACTTGTGTTAAATGATTGGTTCTCTTCGTGGCTCGCTTGGCAGTACGTGCCATTCTTCGCGCCTCTTTTGATTTTTGGCTGTCAAGAGACAGATGCTTAAAGCCTGTGGAGACGGATAACAGTCCGATTGACTCGTAGGTGACAACTAGATCAGGGAAGGCCAGTCTTAGCTCACTGGCCGGAACGATAAACTTGTAGCCTTCCTGTGTGAAGAACGCAGAGAGTAACGCGGCTGGCTCACCGTCAGTTGACGTGGGTGATAAAAGAGCGTTTTCGGACCAGATGTCATTGCCTAGAACAACAACGCATGTACGCAGTGATGGAGAGCACTAAATGACATAAGGGCAGATCGGCTGAACTCTGGATGACAAACGTACTTAGTCGCTTCCACTCCACCTCATAGGACAGTATATAGTTAATAGAGCGTTTTCGGATGATCCTGGAAGGATAAATAGACTGAGGTAAATTTGAGAAGGGTAAAGACTGGTTTTAGTGAGATTTAATCAAACTTAAACTATGGCGGCATAGCACTTCCGCCTACCAACAGGGCGTTGTTTGATTCAATGGGGCATTCGTCGTTCTTAACATTGGGGAGGAGCATATGTAGATTCAAGCAAACCCTGAACAATTTCCTAATAATACCACCTAGTTCTATAATAAAAGTACACCTGACACCATTGAAGAAATGGCATTAGATATGTGATAACAGAGAACACTATAGGTCCTGTTCAGATTGGCAAGTTGAGAGATCAGGGTTGATGATGTGAAAAGATGGGCTCACCGGAACGACTGGTTCTCCATGAAACCCACTGACACCGCCACGGCTCGTTATTACGGTCTGCCGAAGGTACACAAGGCAAATGTCCCATTGAGGCCAATCGTATCCCTTCGTGGCACTCCGACGTACGGTTTGGCAAAATGGATGTTCGGTCGTCTAAAGTTTTTGGCCGAAGGCTCACCAACAACAGTAGCATCTGCGTATCAATTCCTCGAACGCATAAAACATCTGAAGTTAGAGCCAGACGAGTCCATGGTATCCTTTGATGTCGTTTCGCACTTCACCTCCATCCCACAGCAACTAGCGATAGATGTCGTGGACCAACTACTGGCAAAGCGTTATGAGGAGAGAGACAAACCTCTGAAGTCTGAGCATCTGCTCGAGCTTCTGTGATACTGTCTCAAGACCTATTTCACCTTCGACGGACAAATGTACGAACAAATAAAGGGCACTCCTATGGGCTCCCCTATATCAGGCCTAATCGCTGAAGTAGTTCTTCAACGGGTAGAACACTTGGTGTTCACCAAATATCAACCAAAGTTCTGGGCCCGCTATGTCGATGACACTTTCGTCGTTGTCAAAACAACTGACATCGGGCACCCAAAGGAACTACTGAACTCGGTTGACTCGGATATCCAATTTACGATGGAAGCAGAAACAAACAACCAACTGCCTTTCCTTGACATGCTTGTGCGCCGATGTACAACTGGACAACTGTAAACCGCAGTATTCCGAAAATCCACCAACACGAGACAGATTCAACACTTCAACAGCAACCATCCTCTGTCTCACAAACGTAGCTGTGTACGCACTCTATTCCAAAGAGTCGAAACACACTGCAGCACGGCAGAAGAGAAAAGAGCCGGACGATTGTACCTTCAGAACCTACTTGCAGCCAATGATTTTCCCAGACATTTCGTCGAGAGAAGCAGACGTCGCGCGCACAGACGACGGCCAAATGAGCAGCAACCCCAAGTTCGGAAAGCCATTCCATACGTTAAAGGGGTCTCTGAGGCGGTCTATCGACTGTTACAACCGACCAGAGTAGGCATAGCCCATCGACCCCAAGCAACAATTCGACGCCGTCTGATGCGACCTAAGGACCCATTGCCATCTGCCGAAACCTCAGCAGTCATCTACAAAATAGATTGCAAGGAGGGAGACTGCAACTATGTGGGAGAAACCGGGCGGAAATTGCAGACTCGCCTACAAGAGCACAAATCGGTCACTCGGAGGTTAGACCCTAACTCTCAACTAGCAATACACGTTGGAGAAACTGGGCATACTTTCGATCTCCAGAGAGCTACCATCTTAGGCTGGGGCAATACAAAATCAGAACGGCTAACTCTCGAGGCGTGGCACTCCGATGCCCGCTCCATCAACAGGCATCTGGACCTTCCTGCAGATTACAAAGTCCTCCGTCATCGCAATCACAGAGCTCAGGACCAAACAATTACGCCGGACTTAAGAAGGCCATACAGAAACGGCCCGACGGCGAGTTTACTCGGTGAGGAAGAAAAAGAACCGCCAGACCGACCACCCGACAGAGGTTCAATCACCCCCCGACGGAGTGGTGACTCACAAAGCACGCAGACAACGCCCGTCAACCATCCCCGAGAGGCCGAGGCAGCGAGAGGAGAGAAAAATCGATCAGCACGAGGCCGACCAAAGTGACCTGTCATTTTGAATTTCTGGTTGATTAAGTGCATTTTACGCCTTGACAATGGAGAGCCGACAAAACTATTCGAAACGTCAGCATCTAAATAAACTCGTTCCGGTGAGCTCATCTTTTTCTTCGAACTACAGGTCCTATAAACGTTGCCGCCTTCGAGGTGGATAGTTGTATAAACGTCATTGATAGTTCTGATTCAGAATAGGAGGAGCATATAAATCTGCCCGGTTCAAAAAACTCCACTAACTCGGCTTAAGGCAAGTGAGGGGTCCGCATGACAAAAGCCAAGGACTGAACCGAGACTATTGTCAAGAGAGTAACCTACAGCGCGACTGGTTGTGATAAGACGTCATGCTCCGCGCTGGGTCAAGCCAATAAATTGATAAATCCCATGTTGAGGGCAAAGGATCTATTGAACCTAACCGGAGGACGGTATTCAAATCGTCTGTCTAAGTAAATTCGTATGTCTGAACAAACACAGTCAGATGTCCTGTTGGACATCTGGTGAACATTACCATGGAGGCTAATAAGGTAACCGAGGCCAGTCATGATACCGAGACGGCGTCCGAGAGGAAAAGAACTACTTATGAGCAGCAGACGATTTGTAAAAAAATTTCTGGGTTAAAAACCATCAAGTATGGAATGAAACCAATCGGAGCTCAAATGAATGTTTTCACTTGCCAAGTTAAAAGAAAAAAAGTCGCGTCTCTATTCTAAGGGATACTGCGGACGGCTTACGTCATTTTAGTTCTTTGGCGTATGCAATGGCTGCCTAAAATGACGGCAGGAATGCTGCCGTCCGTGATGAAATTCCTGTAAAACGGCCTGAATAAGCCGCTCGGAAGTCCCTCAGTAACAAGCCAATTTGTGGCCAACAGGTGGCAACTCTAAATGTCAACATTTATTTTTAAAGGCCCTCGACAGCATACTAATTGTTAAATTGAGAGATGAACCTTTTCGTCGAAGCAGAATTATAAACAATATGAGGATATTGTAATGTTACAAAGTGCTTGAACATACTTCGCCAGTAAGACTTGCCTTAGTTTAGAAAGGGCTTATCATTGAAACTCCTGTTTAGGCAATACCTGCGAAGACGTCCTGATAATCCTCTCATGAATATCCAACTTGGTGGAATGAAGGGCTCATCATGGTAAGCAGCGGAACTTATAAAGCGTATACTGACAATAGAACTTGAAACGGTGGCATTACTAAAAAGCCTTATCGACATAAAAAAAAATACGCGTATCTTTTCGAGCAAGTGTTCACTTACGCTTTACATACGGTATCTGCATTACGGCATTTACATATACATACCGTAATTCCTCTCGTCATGTACTGGCTTCGAAGACTTCTGGCAGAGCCTGAACATACTTCTGACGCCTCAAGACAGCTGTCTACCCAGACTTGAGTGTAATTATCTTTAAAGCTATAGAACAGCAGTGCCTTGATAGGAAACAGCAGAGACGGCAACAAGGAGAGCCCTTTTCGTCAAACAGTAAAGATTTATTGCTTCCAGGCCATGGTTGCGTATTCGGAAAATGTCCGTAACGTCAGAAAAGTGATTATGCACTAAAGGTTGTGTCTCGCTGCTCGTCGTGTACATTTAGAGTGAACGAATTCGTGCCGGCGATCGCGTCTCTGTCTCAAACGAATTTATATTTTTAAAAACCCGTGGAGACCCTAAATGAAGGCGCTTGATAGACAGAGGCCGCGAAGTCACCAATACTTTTAACGTTCACTTAAACATTCGTGTACTGGACGGCTCAGAGTTAGTTAGGTCTGAAAAGGCAATCATACAAAGTAAGTATGATGTAAGCCTGTCTTTTAGGACTCATTTTGCGGTGAACTCGAAACCAGACAAAAATGACCACCGATAACGTCGCTGAATCGGTTTCAACAGTTCGAGTATCAGTAGCTTTATAAAGTCTTTAACTTCGGGCGCTTTTTATAAAGTTTGACAAAAAACTGGGTTTCGAAGCTACGAATTTGGTTACGACTGTGGGCTGCGCACAGTTACGCATCGGTAATATTAATGTCCAGTCGAATAAAGGAGGAAAGTGTCATGGTCCCTATCATAAACAGTGTTCGTTGGACCTAGATGCGTTGTAGTTATCGCTAAGACGTATTACCTAATTCAGCCAAGTTGGGTCACTCACCGAGCATCTCTCACCTCAGAAAGCATGCATTTGCAAATGAGGGTTGTAAAATAAGTGGTCAACGGATGGCCAGAAAGAGGAAAATTCAGATGAAGCAAATCTTGCAAGTTTTGACCAAAATCTCACCGAATAGGTGTGGGCTCGAGTGGAGCGTTTTCACCAGAATCAGCCAACAACCGAAGCCTCCAAATTGCAAATAAAGGGACGAAATGAGTTAGGGAATAGGTCGGCGTCCAGTCAAGATGCTGGATGCAAAACTCGACAGCCAACTTCACGTTTGGTCTGGACCAGATAATTGAACTCTTGCTGGGAAGTTGCCAGCCGCGAACATCACAGGGACGCAGAAACTCTTCGAATACCTATGGATATTGAAAGGCATGATCTGTACAAAGAGTACAAAGCGGGGGCGTGAAAAGACGGGAAGTAAAATCTGATTTTGACTATTAATTAAAACGTCAGCATGGACCTAACTGCGACAAATCAAGGTTGCTTCACCACACTCCCGGCACAGGTGTTAACTGTAGGCCCACAAAAGCTTAACCAATTTTGTGAAATGGTTACCAAAACGCCCCATGAGTCAGATCAGTTAGAAATATGAGAGCTACCAGTCAAATGTGGCGGTCAGGGGACGGGTTGGTTACTCTTCCTCAAGCTGAGCGAACTCTGGCTAAGAGGCAAGACAGCTAAAATATGCGGGGACTACTTAGGGAACGGGGTACATACACGTGTCGACCTCGCATTGGTTCGAATGTGGTCTAACCGAAAATGGTTGTCTGCGTCATAGTCGGTAATGCTAGTCTGCCTATATTACGCGCCGCTGAGCGGCTGCTGGCTGGGCTCGACAGAGAGAGCCCTGAGAAATAAACAGGACGAGTGAGTTCCCGAAGACGATCAGTGAGCGCCACTCTACCGTCGAACATTCTTATGGGCGTGCTCAGAGTCATTCTTGCTGAAAGCGTCCGCATAAAACATGGAGCGAAAGTCTTGCTGTCAGCTGGCCCAGCGTGCTCTAACTGGTGTGTAGTCAACATGCCTTTGAATGTAATCATGACCGGAGTGTCGCGCGACTATGTGTGGTGGCAAAGTGAACTACAGCAAAGAAGTTAACATTTTTCACCATTTTCGCAAACGTTTTCCATTGCGTAGTGGCCAAGGACTCGCCTCGTAGATACGTAGTAGCTTCCCTTATGGCCTTCCAAACCTCCGCAGTGGCGAGCGGCTTGGTTGTTGTCTCGTGTAAATCGTAGATGATGCCTTTCCGGGTATCCCCAGTGTCCAACGTTGTGAAGATGGGAACAACACTAAGAAGACGCAAAAGTGAAACTTTTTGTGAGAACGGTTCTCAGCGCGCGAGACTGGCCTGCTGCACATTGTGGACCACAGCAGTCAGGCAAGTGGTCTGTGGTAAGGGTGGAAACAACTGTTGACGCATTATATTCTTCTGAGCCAAAGTTCGCGCGGAAAGGCTTTGCGTTGCGTTATAGCATGTGATGAGCAGTTTATTTTTACCTCCAAAAATGCTATTTTGAATACCCAACACCCCGTTTGAATGCATAGGACCCGACAAATGTCGTGATAGGAATCGCGATTAGGATAGGATAGGATAGAAATATGGAGGTTTGTGCAAGTCGGGTTTCCCAGTCTTTAACCTGTCTTTTGAATGGAGGTCCAGTTCAAGAGACAACAGAGGCAGAATGAACTTATTTAACAGCGGTTCATGCTCGTGACGTCGAAGTGTCGCTGTGAACCCCTGTAGCGCCTTCTGGGATGGTCGGTTGCCTAAACTGACCCGAAAGTCGCCTTATTTTGCGGCTAACCCTTACCATTCACCACTCCTGGACATGTGGGGTAGGCAGCAATTAAGCTAACAGACAGGACCTGTCTTCCCGGGATTTCCATCTTCCAGAATGATTAGAGGTTGAATACAACTGCGCAAGTGAGAAGATAAAAGGGAAAAATAATTCGTTTTGGTAATCCGCAAAATACGAAATACGTATTTAGTCTACGAAATCCCAGCGTTATGTTTGACGGTCTAGTGAGGTGTGGCCGCATTTTGAAAAGACCGAACAGAATCAGGAGAACAATTTGAGGAATCCGTCTGATGCTCAAGTACATGAGTGCGCTGACAAGAAGTCAAAGTAGTGTGGCGTACCAACTCACTCGAAGGGCAAGAAAAGCAAAGCGTAGACACGTTCAAGGATTATCACAGCTGGCGACAAGGAAAGAGCATGCAACACACCTCTTCAACTGGACATCTACACAAGCCGTCCTTAACTTTTTTCCAAACGCCATTTTGGAAGACAGAGGTCGGCATATCAACTGTCGGCGTTGACCCGTCGATCTTGAGGTGATTACGTACGACGGCTGGATCATTTTGAGAAAGGAATGTACGTGCAGACACTACGCCAACTCCGGGCACTCCATCAGGCCAAAAGTCACAGCCCAGAATGAGGCCGAGGAGTACAAGATGTTCGCGCGAGAGGCCCAGGTCAGTGTGAATTTTTCCAGCGTCATAAGCAACTACGGAGGTGTTCTGTAAGTTCAAAAAGTGTAATACAAAGAAGTCACGGCAGAAAGGTCCCATCATTAAACTACTATTGGGATAAAACGGTCACTTGGTTTCTGTCATTGTATAGGACCAGGGCAAGAAAGGGCGAGACGAACTCTGACCTATGATCAAAGGTCGTTAAGCGTTTGGAAATGTGGTTGATGTTGGTGTTAGCTAGCGTCTTGTCTAATCAGCTTCAAGAGGAAAATACTAGACGGGCCGGGCAACTTCCCGTAGACACGGACCAATCAGGTTCTATGGGAGCACTGTGGCAGCAGCCAGTGGCGAGACGCTGAACGCCATAAGCACGCGGCCGGGCGAGCGCACGTGCCTTTCAGTGGGAATTTGGACAGTCATAACGATGGCAGATTACCACTGCAAAAGCCTACACTGATAATGGTATCCACTGCCTCCCTCTAAAGTGACAAAGCTGTCACTTTCCTGGTTACAAATTCGTACTAGCACGATGACCCGATTTTATTTGGTTTAGGGTAATGAAAGCCAAGGCTAGTGCATAGTTTAAAATGTCTTAAAGCCTACACGTGGATTGCTCCGAAGTGCATACAATGCAACTCTAACCAGGCCCTCTGTAAGGTCTCTCCCTCTTCGCTGCTGATTTGCTCTAGCCCGTTTCTTAAATAGCACCCCTCTGGCCCCCAATTTCTATCCGCCTGCCAGGCTACTCGCCTGACCGGCATTCCATGCTATTTATCACCTACCAAACTGAAATTATTTCGGGTTGTCTTCACGTAACCCGCCCAACGCTGTACAAATGTGCGATGAATGCTTACGATCGAATGAAGGACTGTGAGACCTGTTGACTTCAGTAAATCCCGTGTCTTCCGCCATTTAGTTTTGTTTAGCCTTATTTCGTGAAAAGACATTCAAGAAAATAAACACAAAAACTGCGAATAAGTTCATTATTCGAAGACCTTTTAATATTAAAATATGAACGCAATCACTTTACAGACGCGACAGATTTTCCTCTTAAGGGGCACAACATGGTCAGCCTTACAAATCTTAAGCAGTATCTCGTGGGCCGAGGGCCCCTAAAAGTTAAGACGCCTGAAAGTTCATGCGCAATGCACCACACAGTCACGCGAACCTCTTTAACCGGGAGAAAGTGGGGGGCCAGAGCAAGTTTGCGATTACGTACATAATGCACACTTACCCGAGAATTAAGCGTAAAGTGGCGATAGACTTTGGAGGCCCCATAAAGAAAAGAATCGCTATCATTTGAGACACAACCGTCAACAAGCTAGAACGAAAAAAAACAAACCACCGGTGAGACTTGAGAGTGGGTGGGTTTACAATTCTACAGGGCCGTTTTGGGCGGAGGAATCATCGACTTGTTTTACCATCGTTGTTTATGCAAACCAAGTGGGCCTGATTTAGTAGAGTGAAAAACTTTTCAAAATAAAATGCGAGTCTTTCGAAGTGGAAATCTACGGCAGCCTGACGAACCTGGTTAACGAAGAATGAGAAACGGGTTCAGGTGTTGTCAGAGGAACGGCTCCAATAGTTTCTTAGACAACAGTAATTCGCATAGAAAACGGCGAACTTGGATCGGAGGCTGTGTCTCAGGCTGTCGCCTGCGCATTGTCGACAGTGAATTTTAAAAATGGAAGAGACGCCTCCAAAACGAAGAGATAAGCTTCAAAAGGTAGACTCGCCTTGTGAGCATCTAGGTAGGCACACATTGCCTCCGCTTCTCCTGGGCTTTTCAAGCAGGGCACACCGAGTGCTTTAAGGAGATGGCAGCACTGAAAAGTAGCACGGATTACCCAAGTGATAAGGCATTGGTGGAAAGACACACATATGCGCACCAATGCACGGGGACTGAAAATAACATGGAAAAAAAGTGAACTCCATCGAAGCAGCCTAAAAACAGGCCATGCTCAGGGGTAGATTAAGAACCGGGACCACTCTGGTAAGTTGCCAATCGTGTTGCGGAGCAACAGGATGCAAGCAAGGGAACGTCCGGAAACTAAATTTAGACCGCAGTTTTGACATTTCATGTCTACCCAATGTCAAGGAACAGATCGCTAGTAGTGTTAAGAGCCATAAACCCCAACAAGAAGTTTAGTAAGTACTCGGCGTCATGTCCTACGTTGCGATTACCAAAAAATTATCATTACGGCCTTTACAAGACAAGAGTGGAAGTTACTCAGCAACCCCCGTTCCAGTCGTTCTCATGGAGTTTTATGGTTATTTCATGATACAGAACCAGTTGGTAAAATGTGTCCGTGCGAGAACTAGAGAAGTGCGCAGCAGATGGGAACAAAAAACCTGCGTAATGAGGGCAACAAAGCTCCTGCGACGAGATCCAAATTAAACGGTAAGTTTAAACAATCTTGGATTACCTGGTTAGAAATAAAAGCAAACCGGCGACGCTCCAGGGAGATAGTGCGTCGACTTTGACTCGCAGTGTGTCCTGAATAGTTATATTTGTGTCTAGTGGAAGAAGTAAAACAAGCATCTTGATTCTCAAAAAAAATAGTTGGGTCTCAGAAATCTAAGCGAAAAATTCTGTCATAGAACTTACAGTCCCTCCAACGACAGCCCACCGGCATTTCGAAAAATATTACATAGTCTGCATATCAAAACTAGGTGATACTATGATGACAAGACGAAGCAGGGACTATTTTAAGTGAGTTTTCGCCCCAAACCTTCCAAACGGAAGGGATGTAGTAACAATCCGAGTGATTGCGAGACTATCGATGGGCGTGGTATAAATTACAAGATCAACTGGCCTAACATGCGCTCTTTTCCCAAATATCTTATTCAATAAGGTTTCGAGATGATGCCTCAAACATATCTGCAGACAAAATAGGCTGTTAGATATCTAGGTCACAACAAATAAAAGTCTTGAAATCGGAGACTGTGACTGCCATTTACTAGTAAGTCCTCACGACACATTCAGTGAAATTGGGAAAGTAGGAAAAAACTGGCTTGTCTACATACAATGGCCGTCCGTACCTAAACTGGCACTTGCATCAGACGTCACAAAAACCAGATTAGCCGATATAAGTGTAAACGGCACCATACAGAGGTACAGCACGGGGAACATAAAGCAGGCTTATGAGTCGTTCCCGCGTATTGTGAAGGGTTGGGGGTGTCTAGTCACGACCAGTCATCGTAGGTTATGCTTCATTTGCTGGCAGAAAACATTTGTCAGAATACTTTGGTCCAGGTAGTCAGCTAAGGAGAAATTCCTTTGGAACTGCTCATTGTAACATGCTATCCAACTTTTTGCCTGCATAGTTAACAGAATTCCCGAGTGTCGGCAGACTTTATGTGTCGGTAACTATGTTATGGATGGGTAAGGTCCCGCATTACATGCGATTTATTTACCTTTCAGTATCCGAAAGATGCCTGACATCAGACGTAAGGAAGAATCTAATGTCAAAAAGTACACAGACAAGGGGCTGAGCAGAAGTGGGTCCAGTTAGAACGAGGGAAATGCTAACGTAACGAAACAGCGTTTAAAACGCAAAAACGCGCAGACAACACGCTGAGAAAACGGTCGAAAAGGCTAACCTGGAATTTTCGCGTATTTCGAGCGTGCTTGCTTTAAGAGCTGGAGCAGGGCCATCGGTTACCGCAACCGGTAGAATGGCTTCCTTAAGGAGGGCAATGATCCGGAAAACCAAGTTTCTATTTTTAAAAAAATACAGTTGATCGAAATGATCTTAGCAAAGAGGGGTAGCGGCGGCAAAAAGATCACTTTAGAGCCAAGAGCAGTATACGAAACCACTTAAGTGACTAGGAAGAGTAAATAAAACTTGAACAAGATCAACGTAGTGAGAACTTAAAGCGACATAAATTTTACAAAAACTCATCGAAGGCGAGCCTTGTGATCTTAGATTTCTCAGTATTTAGACCAGAAATTGACACTTTTGGAAGTTTGAAAGCTAAAATGGAAAACTATAACAGTCTAGTTTGCTAGTCAGTCAAACATCCAAGAGTAAGAAGCACTAGCAAATAACAGACAGATGGAAATATGCGTGCTGGATGGCAAGAAGCGGAGAATGAGCACTAATGACTTCGAGTCAGCATCTTATCAAGCAAGACTGTTAGCGTGCGCTACCACAAAACACGACTCCCAGCCCTACTTCAGCATATAGGACAGCTTTATTTGGTCATTTCAGAGCTAGACGAACTTATTTTTCTATCTTACTCCAGGTTCGGTAAACGAAGCTCGATTTACACTCCTTACACGATCACAGCGCATGGGCCCAACAAGCGAGAAACAGCAATCCAGGTTGTGACTAACTGACAGGCTTCATAATGATTTTATGAGATTTTGAAGCGCTCGCAAGTTATGGTTCGCATAAGTCAAGAATAACTGTTTTGGAGAATTAAGAGGATGGTTAAATCCTAAAGTATTTAATCAGTTGAGAGAAGGCATCCGCATAGGCAACCTCGACGGCAGAGAACGAAAGAGGAGCACACTCACAGGGCCGTAGGGAATGGTGCACAGCCCTCCATCGCACTGTTCGCAGTCCATAAATGTGGTTTCAAATAAACATACTATTATTTTAGACATTTCCCTGGTTTGGTAGGGATGACCGTGATTGTGAGTGTGGTAAGAGGTACTAGCGATGGAGATGCCTGTGCCGCAGTCTCGAAAGGGCCAACTACAACATGACAGCGCCCGAGTTTCCCATCTTTAGTAAAGTCGGCTTTTATGTGCATGCCATCGCCTGAGCTTTGACTGTAGTTGTAAATAGTAGTCTACGATCCAACTATTCCCGTTGTAGAAGTTACACAAGAAGTCCTTGAAACGTGATCACTTTTCACGAAACAATCATGATGTTTCGCATAACCTGAGATGTACATGTGCTCATGTGGATGTGACCACCCAAAACCGGCTAAATTCAGTAAGTGCATTTGTCAAGATCAACCACTGATAACACGTTGATCATTCTTGGACGCTTGAGACCCTCCACAAGTAATTTTACTTTCAGCATGAAAATCTGACAGCAAAGATCGGAGATCAAAGGGCAAAGTTTCTAGTCTCGTAAGCTTCTACGTGAAAACAGGCAGCAGCAATGAGATAAACTGACCAATAATCTACTGTACCCAGAGTCGGGGTGCATGCAAGCAGTCGAAAACATAAAATAATGTTTTCAGGCCCTAAATGGAGGTTCGGTAGGAGAGCGACGACGCGGCATTAACTGTGAGGCTGCGGCGAAGAACTCGATGACGTAATAATTTGGAAAACATTGGGTGAGATCCATCGTAAACTGTGCTGGCAGGCATCCCAGTGATAAACCAGTCTGGAGCACATATAAAATGTCACCTAAGATGAGTATATGCGGTTACCAAGGTCTCAGATGGTACAAAGTACATGTCCAGTCTTCCACGGATCTGTAGTGATCCTACTCCCGGTGTTCGCTCTAACACTACGACTATGCCCCGCACATACTTGTATGTACGCACCAACGGCAGCTGTACGCCTGCAATTCAGGTTATGTACGATGCCATCATCGTGCCCGGGCGCCGCGATGCTTTAGATTGTGTCCGATCAATCATAAACATCCAAAATTACTAGTTAATTTCGAGGCCATGTCGGACATGTTCTCACTTAGGACACTTGAACGCCTGTTTCCCTAAACATGGAAGCGCGTCTCGCGTTCGGCTGCCAACCCGCTTTGGCAACTTGTTCCCCATTAATTTTACGCAGTCTAGAATATTTGAACTGCCTCTTACCCGGGGCATGACCTGGGGATCGAAATGGTTGGGATCTGCTGATTGACCTAGCTAATACGATAAGTTAGCCAAACACTCCAACTGTCGGGTTCAGATTGTGTACAGAAATCTGATTCAGGTAGCTAACAGCATGACGTCTCTCGAGTACAATTTGTCACAGCACCTAAGCTGAAGCAAAAAATATTGATCTGACAATTTTTATGCGAACTACTCTGAGTATTAATAAATAATTAGACAATCCTGCGCTCGTGAAGGTTATAACTTCAGGGTATCTGCCTGTTGGCCCTGTGATCATCGAATATATCCCATTCATATCCTGACAGTAAAGGCCCCGACCAATCCATCTGTGTGACAGGGGTAGAGGTGAACTGTGTGCATGCACAAGATCAGATCTGGGAGTAGATTCGAATGTAGCACAGTGGGTTTCTTGTGATTCGCCCCCAAAAAATCGCATTTGGTTAGGGGAGCAGCAACTTATTTGGAAGTGGGAAAAGGTTGGCAAGATGAGGCCCGAGGGACGGAGATGTCGAAACCTACATATAACGGTTTCAAAGATTTCCGTGGCGAAAATGAACTAGCAGATTGGTAACTGCAATCTGGCAGCTCGGACTGTGCTGTGAGTTTAAGGTTAATAACCTGACTGGCTGACGGGGGCGCAACTTGCGCAGGTAAATTAACCTTGCTGCCACATCCATTGCCTGCTGGACTACGACAGCCAACGACCTACAGGTAGGACACTGAAAGCTTTGTGTAAGTTCGTCCACTTCCAGATAAAGTCAACATGGAAGTCTCAGGCACGCCACAGCCTATTACATTTGGCCAGCCCCCTTTTAAGACCGCGTGACGCCTGCGCAGTTTGCCAACACATTGCGCCTCAACAGACAGCACAGTGAGTCATTGAGGCTATTAACGAGGACGGGCCGATGAAGAAGCAGGAGTCAACCAATCACATACCTAGCTGTGGACTATGAACAATGATGTCAGTAGGAGTTATCAATGTACGAGTGCAGTAGTATACTACTGCGCTCATACACTGATAACCGTGTAACAGGGTTGTTTTATGGTTTCATTCAAATACGACGTAGAATAACTTCGAACAAATTGGATACAGTGAGGAATTGAAGGAGTTAACAAAAACTTTGACGTGATACTTGAAAATATATTATTAAGAGCCACGGCAATCTCTCTTGCCTTAAGTAAAGCTTTGCTCGGATTTGAACCCTTTCGTTTACGCGAATATCGCTACAGATCCATCCACTCAGGTCAATGGCGAGAGATTTACCACCTAATAAACGCAAGGGGATGTGTTCTTGGATTGGATCCAGTACTGTCCAGAGCCCTCGCACGCCCATTCTGCAGTTTCAGTTGACGATTGTCTTTTGGAGGCGTGACTAACGGCAGCAATTTGCGGAGGGCTTCCGCCGGCTATCAGGCGATTGGTCGACATTTTCGCGCAAACTTCAATGGCTATAAGACTCCTCTTAAGTTTAAGTTTTGTAAAATTATGTTTGGGTGATACTTCCGGTCCATTAACGACCCGGAGGATGGCGTTTAAAAACTTGGCCAAGGTGGAAATATTAAACGTAAGTGCATTTTATGGGAACCGGCAACTATAGCAAGGTAAGAAGTACCCATGAGCTTTTGATGTGCTCCACAGAAGGATTGACGGACTTCAGTCAGTCAATGTCGGTGTATTTAAGGGAAATAGGCTTACGCCTTTGAACTCCCTATTTGTACATAAAAAAGTCAATAAATTGGCAGAATGTGAAGAAATTACAGCAGTTAATGTATGCAGGCATTAATTCACATATGTCACTGGTCTCATGGCTAAAAAGTCACATAGTCCGCTTTTTGCTGTAGCATATGTCTGTCAAGCCTACATTTAAATGTCGCCACAGATTGAGACATGACAACCTTCTTGGACAAATTATTCCACGGTTCCATGACACGGTTGGAGAAGAAATATTTTCTCACATTCAAGCTATCCTGTGGCACACGTAGCTTTAAGGGATGTCGCCGGAGGTTAGTTGTTGCGGCGGGTTGGAAAAAGTCATCGCACCGAAGGGCGCTATATAAGCCACACACAATACGGAAAGTTTATATCAAGTCTCCGCGCAACTGCCTATAACTCAGAGGATAGAGATTACGGTTAGTTAAGCGGATCTCGTATGGCAGTGCACTTTGAACTCTTACTAATTTTGTTGCTCGCCTCTGCACCATTTCGAGCAGATTGTAATCCTGATGTGTCCATGGTCTCCAAACCTGAATTGCATATTCGAGGTGCGGCCTTACAAACGTGCCGAAGACTTTTGAGAAGCAGTCTTCATCGAAAACTACGAATGCCCGCTTGATGACATATAGCATTGAAGTTGCGGCCTTTGCCGCCTTACAACATTGCGTAGAAGGCTTAAGGCTGTCTGAAACCCAGACTCCGAGATCTTTCTGCGTTTCTGCTTCTCGAAGTGGTATTCCGTTCAGATGGTATTGCCGCGTACTGGGGGTCTGATTTCTGAGGCGCAGTATGGTACATTTGGTCTAATTGAAGGACAAGAGCCATCTGCGGGACCACTCGTCCAACAGACAAAGATTTTCTTGGAAGCTGGTCTCATCAACAGCATTCTGGATGCCTTTCCAGATTTTTGTGTCATCCGCAAACATTGCACTATTACAGTCCAACCCATCTACACAATCATTGATGAACAAGAAAAAGAGGGTTCGTCCGAGCACCGAGTCTTGTGGGACTCCACTCTATATGAATGTGCGCCTTGATTGCTGTTTTTCTACGCAGACAATTTGGGAACGGTTGACGAGGAACTTCTCGATCCAATACCCGGCGCGCCTTTCGAACAATACCCGGCGCGCCTTTCGAATTCGGTTTGAAATTTCGACCTCCGAGGGATTTGCTTTTTCCGGGATTTCTGCCTACTGGACGCTCTGCGGGCCCATTTGGATTAAGAAATTGAAGCGTAATCAGCAATTCCTCGAACAATCCACTCAGAACTCCGACAGAACTTTCTTTGGGACGACCATACTCCTTCGTATCAATTCTCTGCCAACAGCACCGCGGGGTTCTCCAGATCCAGAAGCGGCTGAGTCGTTTGATATTTACTTCATATTTTTGGCTTGGTTAAAAAGCTTCTCCTACACCTTTAAATACTTCGCCCATACCTAGAATCCCTTGCGTATCGTTTGAATTAATAATGGGAGTCGACAAAACACCATCAGGACAATGTGCGAAAAACTCGCCGCAAGTGGGACTCGAACCCAGGTCCAGTCGTAGTGTGACCAGCGACATGACCGCTAGACTATCGGCGCACGCCCAGCTGACTGAAATAAATAAGGGAGTAAACATTATTCGTAGTACAAACGACACTATGTATGAAGGAAAGTCAATTGAGAAGGCCTTGCCACCTAGGATTAGCGCTCGCTCTCTTTATAGTTGCAACCAGGGGCCCGCAAAGCGCGCTAAAAGCGTTATCACAGCAAAACCTGTTAGTTACGAGGACGAGCCGTGCACTGGATGCTCATTTATTCTGCTGAAAGTCCAAAAACTCGAAAAAGAGTTGACTGCTTTAAGGGAACTTGTGCAAGCGAACGATAGTGTGCAAAACGCGGTGAATAGCGCTAAAGTTAGCAAGAAAAAAGGAAACAGCAGAACTCTAAAACAGCCAAAGAACAAAGCATGTGGAAAACCTCTGTGCAAGAGCGCCGATACCCAGGACGATGGGGAAATAGCAACGGAGTCTCTTGTTTCTATGGGAGACAACCCAAGCGAGCCATCAACTTCTCTCAGCCATTCCGCGTGTTCAACAGGACCCTCAGTTGGAAGTGAGGAAACAAGCTCATGGCAAGATGGAAAGGGTAAGCGCCACAACGGGAGTATAGAACCCCAGACGACTCCGGTGGATCTTCTGAGACCTTCAGCTGACAAGGCCACCGGAAACAGAAAAAATGAACCCCTTGATCGTCAGCACTGCGTAGTCGTCCAGGGTCTATCGGAGTCGGATGCTTCTACCCCGAAGGAGAGGATCTCCGCTGACCTTAATATGCTTCAACACCTACTGAACGAAATGTTTAATTCAAATGAAAAGATAACCATTCGCGCAGCCTTCAGGATCGGAAAGAAGGTGAGCGAACAATCAGAAACTGTGCGGCCACGACCTCTGAAAATTGTTTTGAACAGTAAAGAGGAAGCTAGCTTACTTCTGTCCAGGAAAAGCAGCCTCCGAAACTCGCACAAGGAAGTTTTTTTTCAGCCGGACTATTCTCCAGCGGAACGTCTGAAACGCCGCGAATTGGTAACGGAGTTGAAGAGGAGACTTGCAGCGGGAGAGAGCAACTTGGCCATTTTCAGGGGACGAGTAATACAGAGGAACGCGATGTTGTTTTGGAACCAGCCGGTCATCATGATGGCGGCAGCAACATAATATTGGCAAACCCGAGACAAACCGAACGAAACACTGTCGAATGTTGCAAACTAAAATTCTTTTACACCAATGCTCAGAGTCTGTTTTTCAAGCTTGACGAACTGAGAATACAGGTAGACGATACTCTTCCCGATGTTATAGCAATAACAGAAACGTGGCTATCACAGGACGTTGGCGATTGCGAGGTAGCATTAACAGGATACCATTTGTTTAGGAGAGACAGGAGAGGCCGCCGGGGTGGAGGAGTTGCCATGTATATCAAGAGCAACTTAGCAGTGTGTGAGAGGACCGACAAGATTTCTAACGACACAGAGGCAATTTGGCTGACTATAAAGGCGCGGGGATCTCAGTCCCTCGAAGTCTTAACTGTCTCCCGCCCCCCGCAGGCGGATCCCGACCCAGATACATGTCTACTGAAAAGCATAAAAGAGATCGCCAGCCGACCAGACGTTGTTATCATGGGGGATTTTAATGCACCATGCATTCAATGGAGCGATATGCATGCGAAATGCTCGATGAATACCTTCGATTACCATCTACTAAAGACAACTCTTGAAGCTCTACTCACGCAACATGTCCTGTTTCCAACTAGAGCTCGTGGAGGGCAACAGGCCAGTTGTCTGGACCTCGTTTTTACCAAAGATCCTGACAGTATAGACGAGGTGTACTACCTACCCCCGCTCGGTCGAAGTGATCATGCAGTGCTTTTATGCGAGTACTTGCTGTATTCTGAACCGTGTACAAAAGACAATACGAGGCCGAATATATGGAAAGGGGACTTTTGCCAAATGAGAGCTGAGGCATCACAAATAGACTGGGATGTTCTCTTCTCCGGAAATGTTAACGAGGACTGGAATTGATTCAAGGATCGTTTACTGCATCTAATGAAGAACCACTGTCCCTTATCAAAGCCTAGGACATCCAACCGCCCTCAGTGGCTTACACGAGAACTCAAAAGGGAGATCAACAAGAAAGGTAGATTATGGAAAAAATTTCGCGAGAACAACAATAATGCAGCGTTCACAGAATACAAAATTCAAAGAAATAAGGTGAAAAGCCTGATTTTCAGGAGGCGACGGGATTTTGAGAGTAATTTGCTCCACCGAGCCGTTAAAAATCCGAAATTGCTCTACAGCTATTTGCGGAAAAGCACACGTAACAGGAATCCCATTCCTGTTATGAGGGGTGATGACGGCTTGGAGATATCGGACAGTACAAATAAGGCTGAGCACTTTTCTCACTTTTTCCGATCCGTTTTCACCAGAGAAGCGGACTTTACCCCATCTAATTCTGAGAACATGAGAGATCCCACTATCGAAAATATTGTGTTTCGAGAAGAAGCGATTTTGGAAGAACTGAAAAGCTTGAAGGAATGTAAATCTCCCGGTCCGGACGAGATCCCAGCAAAGCTGCTCTTTGAGCTTGCCCAACAGCTGGCCAAGCCACTATCCTTTCTGTGCCAAAAATCGTTTGATGCTGGAATTCTTCCCACAGACTGGAAGACGGCCCACATTACACCCCATTACAAAAGCGGTAGTCGTGCTCAGGCGACAAACTACAGACCCGTCAGTCTGACATCAATCTGCTGCAAAGTGATGGAGAAAACAATCAAAAAGGAGTTGATGGCTTACTTGGAAAGCCACAACCTCTTGTCCAATACACAATATGGTTTCCGTAGGGGAAGGTCATGTGTTACGAACTTGCTATACACAATGCAAAGTTGGACACGAGCACTGGACGCAAAACACACCGTGCATGTTGCCTATATTGATTTTCGGAAGGCGTTTGACAGTGTTCCGCACCAGCGTCTCCTACACAAGTTGAGAATTATGGGCATCGGTGGCAAACTTCTCAAATGGATCGAAAATTTCCTTGTCGGCCGCTCCCAAACTGTCTGCGTAGAACAACAGCAATCAAGGTGCACA